CCCCCCAGAACAGAAGTTATTCTTAGAAGCCATGCATGTAATATGTCTGTTTCTGTCAGCGTCCACGTGTTATTTTTGGAGCTGCTAATACTGAGGTAACTAACGACACCCCACAATCTTCAGCCCTGGAGCTTGGGACAAAACCGTGATGCATTATGTTTGGCTTCGGAAGGATCAACCTTTTCCATGAAGTTAAAGCCAATTTTTTAAATTTCCGTGTCCGGCAGGCGTCGAAAAGAGTGTCTGCAGATGCGCACATCTGGCTGAGCCACTGCTCTTGTTTTTCTTTGGGAGCCCAGCCCCTGACAGGAAGACAGCGTGAGCACAGCAAACAAAAAAAAGGCCTGACTCTTTGAACCGGCCCCTCACCAAGAGATGCTAAGGCCAAACGAGATGTGTCTGTGTGAGCGCAGAGATCTGGCTGCAGCTCCGCGAGGCGTGTCCTCAGTCGGCCTTTGTCAATACAAGCCCATCTGTATGCTATCCAGAAACATCCCCCCCCCCCACCCCCCCCATTGTGATGTATGACTGTTTGTAAGTCATAATAATACATTTCCTCTGTGTCAACAGAATACAGGAGATTATAAAGTAAACACTAAACATAAATTACGGTAAAACTGGGAGGTAGGAATGAAAGTCAGGCCTGCTGCAGAGAGGTTTCAACCGTGTTCCACCAGAGAAAAACGGCATTTCTCAGTGTTGTTTCTGTGCCATTGGCGGGTAAATACGGAGCCCTGATTTCCAGATGTCTGAAATATTCATCTTTAGAGTCCGTAGTGCACATCCTATCATACTTACACCTTCATATCCCATTTTGCATCAAATTCATGCATTTTAAAATGAGTTTGAGTCCCATTTTTAAATTCAATACTGGCTTTACTGTTTTCTTCTTTCTGATTTATTTAATGTAACCCCTCCTTCCCGATCCCCACCTCAGTGTTCTTGCCTTGTCCTGTCTGTTTTGGGATAATCCTCTGTTCATCCAGTACATGCATAAAAAGGCAGAGCACTTCTCTTTCCACTTAATGGACACTTTAGACCTAAACTTAGACATACATCCAAATATTTCTCGTGAGGAGCTTTTGATATTTGGTATCGACTTGGAAACAGTTTAGGTTATAAGTATTTTCATTAAACGTCCCCACTGCGATCTGGACCGGTGTTCTTTTTTAGGTCTTACTGATGATATAAAAACTACAGGAGTTTTAACGTGTAAGCATTCTGTGAGCAACAAACTGGCAGCCATCCACCCACTGTCCCCGCACTCTGTTGCTGTAACCTTTAGCTAAAGTCTCCGGATATGCCTTTGTTGTTAGTCCAAAAATCCGCTGCCCCGCGTGGTCCATTTTTAAACCCTGCTGACCTTTTTCCATATCGTCCACGCTCACGGTCCGACCTGTGTCATAATACAAACAGGAGGAGCAAAAGCCAGAGGAAGGGGATTGTGTGTGCGTGGAAAGCTTGGAAAGCTGGAATCCCCTGTTGTGTGGATGGGGGATATAAGAATAATAGCTTAATCAGATGAGGGTGTTTTCTTTTGCTTTCAGCTCTGCAGCGTGAGGCTTCTACTGCTTGGATGGATGCCTTCAGAAGTAGTAAACAGAGCCTCCCAACAGCATCCCGGGCTGGGTCGGATGCACTCACTGAAAACTCCACGGCCAAAGTTGCTGACATATCTTTATGTCTGTTATTCCCCCTTATCAAAGACAGACAGGGTGATAATAAGCAGCTGTGCAGCGCGGCGGTGCGGTTTTAAACAGCGTGCACGCAGAGCTGAGCATCGTGCCTATACATGGCGGTGATAAAGAAACTAGTGTGTCGAGCAGGACTTTCATCATCGTGGTGGTCTGACGGTTGGTCCCGCAATTATGCTTTGTGGTTCCCAGAGATATGCGGAGGCATTAAAACCGAGTGTGTGAGCCAAACCTGTTTTCCTCTAACATCATCCTGCAGCTCCTTATAAAGAAGACTTATGCCTGCGGGCGCTAAATCACTAACTACTTTTAATCGCTTAAGAATAAAGCTTAGCATGTGGATCCAATGTGTGCCCTCCGCTTGAGACAGATTCTGCTGACTCTCATACATGATGCTGTTTGTAAGTTACAGACGGGGGACTAGCCTTAGAACGCACATTGGCTGCTCCACTCTGTGCAGCTGTGGTGTAACAGTGCCCTGAATTTGACCATTCTAGCCACGGACCATTCAGTCAGAACACAGTGGATACACATGCGGGGACCACCGGCGTTTAAACAAGACATATTTCACCTGTTCTTCTGCCAACCTACCACAAACAGTTTACAGCCAACGGACTCTGCTCTCTGGAGTTCGTCTGTGGCAACTCCACTCCGCGCCACATCTCCCCCTAACCCAGAACCATGAAAGACTGGCCCTCCTGTGACAGCTCCTCACAACATTCGGCCCCGTCCCGCTCCGCTTTTAGCCCTCTGCGGTGAGCTGGACCACGTCTGTGTGGATAAAAGGCTGCCAGAGTGTTTGGCTTGCAGGCGATTTACACGGACGCGAGGTGATTCATTCTGGCTTTGCACAAACAGGCCTGTGCACACATCTCGTTGGTTCTGGACTTTTAAATCAACAGTGGGGAAAACATATACGTACTGGCACTGGGTATTACGTACTGCCCATTTAAACTCAGCTGGTTGGCTTAAACAAGCGCGCACACTGACACACCTACCCACACACACACACACACACACGCACGCACGCACAGGCGGGCCCTTTGTCACTGTCCACGTCGAGACAGAAATACAAACGAAGACATACCTCACTGTTTATGTCTGAATCTGTTTTCATGAGTGTGATTTGTTTCCAGGTCTGTTAATGTTAAAGAGCAAGCTTTCTCGAATAGAAAGCTGCATTATGGAGACATATCTGCTACTGCTGTCAAGCTCTAAAAGCTCAATCTTCTGATAAGGCTCTTTGGAGCTGTAATAAACCATCTATGTAGTCCACATCAGCATTTGCAAACATAAATCTGATTGGGAAGGATCAAAAGCATTTCTATTCCTGTCTGCAGTTAAAAAAGACAATGACAACGGTAGCTATTTTAGGACTTCTGTATTCTATTATTGGTACATTTTTAACCCTTTGACTCGAGCCTTTGACAGTGAGATGTGAACAAGCACTCCTTGACACATGGAACAATTCCAAAGGCCCCACGCTTTTCAGTCTATTTATAACAGAACGGTCGGAGAGAATTCTCACCTGCGGCAGATTAATAAAAGCCTTAGCTCAGCTCACGTTTCACCCGACGCATGCTTTTTCTGCTAGATCATCTCAGCATTAATACCTGCAGCTGTGAAGTGCGACACCCCTCCCGCTGTGGATACACAGCATGTTGGATAGATGCTCATCAGTCGTTTGGACCTTGCATGAAATGCATAGCCACTGTAGCCCTCCGTGATTTGTCATGATTCAGCCCAATTTGGGACAAGTGAATCTCTCGTAAAACTTTCATTTTTCTTCTCACTGTTGTTACTCTTATGATTCGAGGGCAGTTGCAGTCAACCCTTAATCTGGCCACTAGGTGACACCACCACCTTGGTCCTGTGCTCCGTCTCTCCTTCACCCATGCCAGCAACTTTCACATTTACTAGTCACTATTCCCAGAAAAAAAACCTAACAAGATTATTTACAGTGATAACAATCAAGGGTTGAGGGCAGACTTTTTCTTTTCAAAGTGGCACAGTTATAGCAAGTCTCTGACTTGTGGAGTTATATCCTGGAGGTGGCAATGATAATGTCCAGAGTCTGTTGTCTTTTTTCCTCCTCTATGCATCAAAAACCCCACAGAAATGTAAAAATAATACCAGAGTTTTAACTCACTGCATCTAAATCACAACTGTGCCATTGCTGGGGCTCCTACCTGAGAGAACCGGCCTCAGATCAGTTGTCTTAGGTGCGATATGTTTGAGGTCAGTGTGCACTGAGACCAGTGGGTTTGTCGGTCTGTAAGAGCCAAATAGGGCGAGCGGGATTAATGGCTTATGATCACATTTACTGTGGTCCAGTGGAGAACAAAGTGTTATTCTCGACAGCTTTGGCTATATATAACAGCAACTCCTCTCTTGTGTTTGGTAGTTTTAGCACTTTCTGTCACAGCTGAGGATGTAAATACTGAAACTGGAGGGTGTGTCGCCTTAAGGAAACACTTTATGGCACATTTAGCTCTGTAAGAGGTCCACGAGGGGCGATGAATTCACTTAAGGAGCTTGCAGGGAAACCAAAACTGTTGTGAAATGTACAAATTCAGTTAGGCACACTTTTAAAACCTGAACAGACTTGTGGATGTTTTCAAAAAGAGCCTCAGCTGCACGGACTAACTTTGATAAAAGATTTTTAGATAAGATAAAGATAAATCGTTTTCCCTCGGCATCTCCACTTCTCCGCTCTTTCCAACCTAATCCATCATGGTCAGTATTCAAGAGAGAACTTCTTATGTCCTAAGTGTGTGTGAGTGAGTGACCACATCCACTCTCACTCAACAGCCTTCTTGACAGTTACGGAGCCTGAGCCGTCTGACAGGCAGCGGTCATCGAGCGCAGACCAGTTGTCACCAACGTGACAGGCGACAGCTGAGTCCATACATCTGGAGGCCCCAGGGAACCCACACTTCTACACGTCCGACCTGTCCGATCGCGTTTTTTCAGCGTCAGAGATATAAAGTTACTCGGACTACGCGCCCACAGAAAGTGAGACGTGTCTCTTTGGAGACGTGATGCGTAAAAAGCGCAAAGCAGAAGATTAAATGGTACACATGAGAAAAAGCAGGGCATTATCTCGATAAGTGTGACTGTGAGGGGGGGCAATGTTTTAGAAAGATATGAAAATCACAATGAAGTTACACTTTACGATTATCCATACGTCTAGCCGTAAAATCAGAAAATGAAATGATGACAGAAATCCCACACCCACACGAGAAGAACACGAAAAGTTATGAGGAACATCTAAACAACTAGAAAAGTGTTAGTGTTTTCACTGACCTCCAAAAGTATTCAGTCGCATCAAACTGAGAATCCAGAACCAGTACTCCTGAGGTGAGAAAAGCGATTCCCACTCATCGGAATTTAGACGCAGAGTCCCGGGAGAGCGTGCACCAGTGCTGCAAAGCTGCTGCCAAAAGCCGTGCGAAGCGACAAGCTTAAACCTCAGGTCCTCGCTGCATCGGAGTGGAGTGCAATCACAGTCTGGCCTGACTTTTACGCACAGTGTCACCACATCGCAGTCATTTCAGCAAAGCGCGGCGCACTGTGGTGCTCCTCTGCGGTCCCAGTGAAATGACATTAAGGCTGCTTCCTGCCTATTGGCTTAAACAAGAAGCCCCCCCCCCCCCCCCCCCAATCCTGGGGAGACTGGTCTCTCCTGCGAGGTGGACAAACGCTCCCAAAGAGCGTGTTTTTATGTGGAGCTGCGAAAGGTGAAAGGAAATACAGGATTACCTTACCTACAATATCTCATTCTTTTCCTCATAGCATATATAAATGTAGCAATGAGAAAGCAAGACCCATGCATTTTATATGGCTCTGCTAAACCACTTCACCAATTCATGTGCATCATTTGAACACCCAACAAAGAGATGAAGAGCACTCACACCCTTTCATGTTCCCCATTTAACATACAATTTTCACCAGGTGTAGAAATATGATCTTTTTTTAAAAAGAAGAAAACCCTCATTTGTCCCTCTTCTCACTGACACAAAATGTTCACAATGTGCTTTATATTCTCTCACACTAACCGTGTAACTCTACTCCTAAATGTGGAACATGAAAGGTAAATCTATATGTACGCAACTGAAAAGAAGCTTTTGCGGAGTGGTCCGCAGAGTCCGACAAAAATGCTTTTGGATGATCAAAGATTGGAAGAGAACGGCTCCCACCCATAAATCAGCGCATGGCCACAATGCAGCTGATAAAGAGAAAGATCTCAGTGTCTGCTCAAAGTCCCACAAAAATGTAATATTCTGCATTGAATGAGTGTCCACAGGCCTGGACAGCAACAATATCATGTCCATGGGTTGATGATCTTTATCAGCCAGGACATGTTTTTCCACAAACCTTCCAAAAGTGAGCCGATGAAGTCCACGGCTTTCAGAGTGACAGTGCACCTCCAGACAGTTCAGCCAAATTTGTCTCATATGGAATCAATGAATGCTTTTTGAAATCCTGCCTCCTCTCAGTGTTAAGATGTTTGAAACATGAAGCATCAATCTGATTAAATGTATCAATCTAATTGCATGGACTTTAACCTCTTTGCTCTGCAGCATCTTTGGTGACCTGGGCTGCGACCCAGTCACCGTCGCGTAGATCTGACCGGGTAACCGGACTTTAAGTGGGTGCAGGTTTACGGAGCTCAAAGGGATCACTGGTTCTCTGAACAGCCTTTGCATGAAACAGTGAATACAGACCAGATGGATAGAGGTTTTTAGTCACTGCCAGTCGATGTCTTTTTCTCTGTTATGGCTGCCAGAGTTAAGACAAATTGTTCAAATCCAAGCTAATCAAAGGATATAATAGCTTCTATGATCACTCTAATACTCCGGAAATACAAAAAAACAATTGTCTCAATTTGGTGTCTCAACTAATTTGAGACTACAATCCATAGGGTGCTATTTGACATAGCAAATAAAAGGCACACTGATGATGATCTTCTTAGTTTTAGTTTACCAGCTACATTGAGCCTCATTGTCCTAAACCAGATGGACTGGTTAAACCTGAATATTACAGCTGTCTGATCATTTATCTTGTATCCCAAACTTATCTGATAAGACATTGTAATAAGGGGAAGCTTGCATTAAGATCATTTGCATGCCTTCCAGCTCATGAGAAGGACCCAGAACATAGAACCTTTCATTGCTTTGTATCACAGTCACACCTGGGGAGTTGTGTCAGGGTAACACGCCCTCAGCAAACGTTCTGTCCTGTTATGCTCTGAGGCAGAGGTGGCTTTATGATTCCTTTAAGGGGTTTAGGAAGTTCACAGAGAAATATTCTTTATCAAAAATAGCATTTATGTTTTGTATTTTGTACATCATTTTCACTATTAATTAACAGTGGTTGATAGCTCAACATTTAGGATAAAAAATACATAAAATGTATGTGGACATTTATTTATTTAAGAAGTGGACTAATCTCATCTCTGTTTGCTACTGGACTGAGAGGTCCAGGAGGACCTTTCCACCTACAGCCATTTGACTGTTTAACAGTGGATTCTGACATATTTAGTCTAGTTTTTCCCCTCAATTTTATTTATTTGGTTATATTTATATATCATCATTGTTATTATCTAAACACACAGAGGTCACATCAAACAGTGAAAGCTTCATCGATTATTTTCTAACATATGTGTATGACACCTAAGAGGATTTCCCTATATCAATAAATGGACAATTATATTAAGCTTTTTAGCTCGGTTGTTCTACAAGTTCTTTCAGTTTGCATCTAAGATTTATAAAAATATTCTACAGATTTTAAAGCATCTCACAGACATCAGTCTATATATTCTTTTATTACTTACTCACAACTTACTTGCAACGTACTGTTATTTTCTTGTTTTAAGAAAAAAACAGTACTATCAGGGATTCTGTGTGCTTAAAATCCCCATGACCATTTAAATAGTTTTAAAAACCTCTGACATGGTAACAAATAAGTTTAAGAGGCTTTCAAGGTATTTTGTCGGAAATGAAAGGATTCCTGGTATCTGACCCATTAGTCTCCATAAATACCCCAAACAGCAGTTGCTGTAACCATGATTGCCCGGTTGGATAAGTCTGTTTGCTGTTGTTTTCACAAAGTCTTAATAAAGTGTTCTGCCTCTGCTTTCTTTACTTTTTATGTGTGGCTGCATGTTTGTTTGGACACGGGCTGAGCGAACATGGAGCTGCAATGCTTGTGTAAACTAATTGAGCTGAGTTTGTTTTTTGTTTTATCAACTTTGCAATTTTCAGCTTCTCACAACCTATTTGGAAATTTGATTACGGGGAATACATCAGATAAACACAATGCTCACTGTATCTGCCACAGATTTATATGTCATTTATCAATTTTAATCTAATTCCATTGGAGATTTCTGGTAATTGCTTGTTACAAAGAACATACAAGTCCACACTGATGTGTATTCAAAGAGTTTGGGAGGGGATTATTTTTCCAAAGAGATCTTGTTTCGTTGGGTTTACACCGGAAACCTCCAGCCCAAACAAAAGCAGGAAAACAAAACAAACAAGTTTCTGGGACAGAGGCCGATGGCTGAAGGCAAAGGCTGTACCGGTCACTGGGTCTTCGGACAAACGCCCAACTAATTGGGGAACGGTGGCCATTCCAAGTCCCCAAAATGACGACTACGTGTTCTCATGTAGTTGTCACACAAATTCAGGTGGAAATAATGTTCCCTAAATCATATCTGGTTATAAGGAAAGGCAGCAATCCGATTCTGGACGATGTCCACCGCCACGCAGAGGCTGTAAAAGACTCACAAGGCTTCCTGAGGTCAGTGGCGCTCTGTTTGACTTGTTGATCACATTCTGTGAATACCAGCCTATTATAACAGACACACTTTAGCCTTTGTAGTCTCTAATTGGCCCTTGCTTGAGCTCTCCCAAAATAACCATAAACAGCTACTGAAACAAGATAAGGCATGACAGCCTGCTAATTATGGAATTGTTAACATGGTAGACATAGTAACAAAGTGCTTGTGGTTGTGTCATGATGTCTGCAGGCCCCCGTGCCTGTGATCCCACCCATCTACTGACCCCTGTTTGCCTGTGATCGACAAGCCGATTATAAAGGAATGAAAAGGAATCCTAAAAGCATACAGTTTATGTTTTCATACACTGGGGCTCTGGAAAAGCTACCGTTTCAACCCCATCTTGGATAGAAGTTGAATCCCACTGCAAAAGGAGGAAAGTTGTTCATCATCTGAAAAAACAAACTCTTTCTTTCAGACACAGCAGGATGAGGACATTGATTCCATTTTCTATGTTTACATGGTGATAGAGTGAAGTGGTCACCTGAAAATAATCACTGGCTCGCTTTACCGAGTTGTTTTACCAGAGATTTGAATCAACTTGATCTCACAGAAATGTGCTGAAAGAAAATAACTTTTTAAAGGAGTGTGTGTGTGTGTGTGTGTGTGTCTGTGTGTGTGTGTGTGTGTGTGTGTGTGTGTGTGATGGTAACATGCACTTCACTGAAATTAAGGGGGGAAAAACTGGCTCATGTTCTGTTTGTAGAGATGCAGAGCAATTGATAGTGTTCAGAAATTCAACCTGTTACATGCCATTAAGAGCTCATTTAATGTATTTCTGTGGGATAGAGTGTTTTCATTAAAAAATCATCAAAAAGAGGATTAGCCAACTTTCTATGCTAATCTGGCCAAACCAGTTTCCTGTGGTACTTGAGTTTTTGGCATGAAAATTCCTCTTCCAATACCAGGGAACAAGTTTATTCCCCAAAATGTCAAGTTACGCTTGGGAGTCCTGTGGACACCCTGACTTGAATAACAGATTTAATTCTAGTTCAGAGGCTAAATTAAGGTGTAAGTCAAAAGTATTCTGTTGTTAATCATCAAGAATTCTGCTCTTTGATGTACGTGGAGCGTTTCATCACTCAACTCTGGCTTTTGACAGTCTTGGCGTGGTTTAAGGTGGATGATTTTGCTAAGCAACGAGTTTCTACATGGGAAAGCCCGGGAGATTTCACAAGCCAGAGCGACGCAGTTCTCACCCAATTTAAGGTCCGTTGAGCTGGGAGGGATTTTAGGCCTCCAGACAAGAAAAAAAAACCAGGGAGCTGAGGGAAAGACAAACACTGAGGAGGCTGGACTGAGCCCTGCCAGAAAACAGATTTGAGCTCCCGTTCTCCCCTTTCCCCAACACAGTGTGGCTGATGGGTTCTGCATCTTTGCTCATGTGGGTGAGTTTCCCAGCTGAATTTGTCACGGCCCTCCAAACGTCTGCTTTGGACATAAATCGTCAGAGGATCAGACCTCTGAGTTATCTGGTTTCCGTAGCGTTTTTTCCATCTCTGCATCCTCCCTCAGCCTTTCCTTCTCATCCCAGACGCTGCAATGCCTTCTGCTGTTTATTCACCAGTGGTCGACCTGCTTTCAGCGTGCCGAATTCCCCCACGGCTGATCGCCTGTCGCCTGTGAGACAGCGCAGAATCCGCAGTACCATTAAGATTCTTTATGTTGTCCAGATAGGGACCTGACCAGTCCTCTGCTTTCTCTCTGCCTCGGCTTCAATTCAGACTCTTTCATGTCTCTTTTTTGGCCTCTCATCTTCTGTCTTTGCTGGACATGTCCTGTGTGCAGCACTGTATTGGATTCATCACACTTTGTAGCAGGCTTTTTTAGACCTTGTCCAATCAGAACTAGCCCAACGACTCCGGTATTTGATGTGTGTCACTGGTGGCTGCTTTTTGCCGCTCTGCTATTTCAGCTTCCCGGATGGAACTCAACACTTTCTGAAGTATCTCACCCAGAGGTTAGCTCCCTTTTAAAGGATCTGACACTGGAAGCTAATAAGGTTTCACCTCGATACACTCCAGGCAAGCTGAACAATTTTAAGTTGAAAGAATTTAGATGGAAGCTGTATGTGTAAATTCCTATCCTGCTGCATATAATCCTCTTTCACCATTATCGTGACTCTCCTTGGCGCTGGCAGTCATTTGCAAAAGGCCAACCTTGTGGATAGAGTCTGTTTCCCTCATAACAGAGGCCTGCAATCCTGTGCAGCTTTCAGTGGCACTGGGCTGTAATTTCATGTGCGTGGAATTCAGAGTTGGGTCGTTTTGCCACACTAAAATACCATCAATAGCTTTGTTCTGCCAAAGAAAAATACATTAGCAAAATGAGGTCAGCCACGTGTCTGGGCAACACACTTTTCATACATCACATTTTACAGACTTGTTAAAGTCTGTAAAAAAAACTCCAATAACCTGGTTTACAGCCATGCTTGTTATATATACACTTGCAGGCACATATTTCTGTACTTTGCTTCAAATCAGAGTGCCACGGTCATAGAGCATTTGCTCTGATGAAGGACCTTTCCATTCAAGGTCTTTTGGAGTTGTTGTAGATTAGAATCCCGAGGAACATTGACTTGGGGCTGTGCCAGAGCAACTCTGTCTTCACCTCCACAAGATGGGCCGATAGGAGTGGGGATAATTTTGCAAAAGTAGTCTGAGCGTAGCAGCCTCTCAGAGGAATCTACCCCATTCCCTGGATTCCTTGGGAGGTTTTTTGGCGACATGTTTCAGCTGAAAATGCTTCCTCGCATGCTGCCCAGCTTTTGGAAATTGGGGCCCCTGCTTTATGTCCCTCTCTGCAATCATTTAGACCCCCCCCCCCCTCCACCCCCAACCCTCCTCCACCTTATTCCAACCCTCTGTCCTGTGGAAATGTTCCATTAACAGATCTTTATCAGCAGTCCCATCCCTGCACGGGCTCGCCGCGCACCTTTGTTTTATTTAACTGAGGGATTTTTCTCTGCAGCCTGGAATCCTGACGTGAAACTGGTTCAGCTGTGGTCCCGACAGCCCTTTTTCCACAGCATGAATGTTGCAGTAGATGATAATGACACGGGTCTGCGCCCGGGGGGACAGCGCTGTGCGGTCTGGGCCGGCCGCAGACCGTTGTGCCTGTAGACGATATACGCAATATACGGGAATGTCAAAACAACCCTCAGACCGGTAAGAATATGAGGAGCAAGGCAGAGCAGGAGGTAGAAAAATGCTAACAAATGTCGACGATAGATAAAAGGTTAGAACAAAAAAGATTTCAGATGGTGAAGACACATCTGCTCCCTTTAGTGGACCAATTATACGTTGATGGGGAATGGAAAGTATGTCGGGCAGTGTGTGAAACACAAGGCTGTGGGAGGCATCGTCTTTCATGCCTCTCAGTTGGGGACAGTGAAAATTTATGGAGGACTTGCTTTATTCATCCACCCAACACCCATCAAACTGCCACATATTACTCAGGAAGCAGAGCCACCCAACCCTCTAAAAGTTGGCAGGCAGAGTGTGAACAAAAGGTGACAATCCGTCTGCTACGTGATATGTGCCACAGACTGGATTTTGTGTTTTCCGTTTTGCCACATGCCTTCAAAAATTATTGCAGACTTCATTCATTGTCACAAGTGATCACAAAATACATTTTTTACAACAAAACATACAGGAGACTGAAACCTGGAACTACAGTGGCTTCACAACAAAAGTCTCATCAGAGTGGGAAACTGTGAGGCAGATGCTAAAAGCATGATCATTTTTAAATCTAGACACACAAAGTGTGCATGGACAACTATATACAATTTTAAATGCAAAAAGTCAGTCAGTTATAGAGAAGGTTGGTATTTTGTAAACAGTAAGTGTAAAATGGAAGCAAACTGAAATATGTATATATATGTAATGTTGTTTATTTCCTATATCAGAGATTATCATTTAGTTTGCTTGATGGCTGACATAATCTAAAATGTCGAAAGGTTATAACAGAGCTTTCCTTTTGGAGAAAGAAAGATCATGTCTCGATACAATTCAATTTAATAGAGAGTATTAAAAGCTGTAGATTAATTCAGACTCGTCTTGGCCTTCTCACACCTTAATTCTTGCAAAGAAAAAAACACCATTGAACACCAGTTTCTCTTTTAAAAGGCAGACTACTTTCATCCTTATTCCCATGGATTTTCCTGTCGTGGCATCAACAGGTCCCACTCTTGGCAGTAGTTTTCCCCCTCCACTGGCAGCAGGGCAGTAGTTGCAGGAATGAAGAGTTTCCACAGTAACGTGTCATTCAGGGTTGTTCTGCCTCATTCTCTATTCATGCCTTAGCTTCTATTTGACTTTGGTTGCTATCGATGAAAGACTTTGAATGGACACCATGAAAATGACTTTAATCCTGATACTCATCGCCATCATGTGTTTGCTCCTGCTCATGTTTGTCATACATGCCAGCTAAACCCATTCCCAAAGTTAGAGATGAATAAAGCTAAACTAAAAAAGATGGAAGAAACCCTGAACAGTGAAAGTCACAGATCCTGCCACAAAGATTTTCAGTCCCCGTCTCTCTGAATTCCTCTTTGTGTTATACATTAATGCACACAAAATGATACACAGAGAAGCTTTAGCTGCTTGACTGTTAATGTCTTCTCACAATGACCACTTGCATGTCAATCAGCACTCCCCTAATAAGACACATGGTATCATCTGGTTTAGTTTCCAAGTCTCTGCTTTCAAAATGATCCACATCTCTCAGTTAGAATGTAATGAGGCGGAAACAATGGAGGAGGCCATGTGCAGACCCTCTGCTCTGGTCCTAATG